GTAGAAATCACAGCAGGAGTTTTTGGACTCGTCCGCTCTCCCTAATGCAATTAAATCGGGCTTAGATGGGGCTCCTCTTTCGGCTCAATTAGATGGGGCGGATATACATAGCTCGACGTCAACAGACGTGCCTGGCGACAGTTTATGCAAATCCTGGCGGCAGGAGCGAGTAATCAACATTTTTGGCGCCCGCTCAAGAGCTCGAGGCTGGCGGAGGCGGGCCAAAGAATTTGCATATGGCCGAGGGAATCTATCTTCGGATTGCTATTCCTATTTGGTCCTCGTCGTCATCCGCTGGCATTCCCACATTCATTAAGTAATTTGTTGCCACAAAATTTAATATGTTTCTAAAGTGATCCTTTGCTATTTATTTAATGCTTGTCAAGCAGCGACCGCTGTCCCTTTTCGGGGGTAGGCCTTCCTTTCTTATTCCTTTTTCTCTGCTCCAAGGCAACCCTTTTGACCTTTTACTGACTGACAAGTTGGCCTTAACGACTAACCGCAGGGACGAGTGGGGAAGCGGGCCAGCTAGGACAATCAAATTGATCCCGATTAGGATTTAAATTGCTCAAGTTTTCCAGGGGTTCATTCATTTTTTGTGTAGCCCCTCAAGTATTTCCGGGTTGTGCACGCGTGGGTTTATTTAAACACATTCGCTTTCATATCGTAGAAAGTGCATTGAGAAAAATACTAGTGAAATTCAGGGCTTGCTTCATTGGAGACAATTCGACCACCGAGTATTTTTCTGAGTGTGGAGTCTATCTGTAGCCATGTTGCCCAGAGCTGTCAGCTCGTGCTCTCACTTTCTCCATTTGCATGTGTTGATTTTTGCTTTTGGGCTAAAACGTGTTATGCTCATTCTGTGCTTCCCCTTGTTAGCAAAATTCCTCTTTTTCGTTATGTATATTTTTCTGGTTTTTGTTCAAGATTTTCCGGTGTGTCCGGGGATGTCAGAGCTGTTGGCTGCTCCTTCCGTCGCCGCTGTTGTCTTGGAGCGTTTCATTTCATTTGAGAGCGACAAATTGTGCGTGTTGACTGTAGGAAATGAATGTCATCTATGTGACATGTTGGCAAAATATTGAAATATGTGGGCGAGACTACAAAAGCCGGAATCAGAGCATATGGGGATGACATGTGCTTATCTGGAGCGCATATTTGTTGCATGCTTTCGGGCATAAGTCGGGCATTCCGAATAGCTTTGAAGTGATGATTTGATGAGTATCTCAAAACAAATGAACATGACGAAATCTCGGCTGAAATCAATACTTTTCTTCTTCCTTTCGCTTTAAGTGTAAGCCCAGCTACGGCCTGTTAAATTCCATTCACCGCTCCCTCTGCATGGCCAAAAGCAATTTCATAAACTGCAGCACTTAACTAAAAAATCTCGGACATATTGCCCTTCTCCTGCTGGTTTTCGGGGAGAACTCGCATTTAACAACCTGCTATAAAAGAAGGCATACACAGAACGCAGGCCCGAAACCCAAAAACCGGAGCTGAAATCGAAAAATTCGGGAGGCTCATCAAACTGCTTGCCAAGCCCAGAATCAATATTTTATGTACAGTCCAAGAAAAACAAGAAAATAAGGATTAAAATGAAAATCTCAATGAAAAAACAAGACTGGGATTTATGAAAGCAAAACACAAAGCCAGGGCCCACACAAGCCAATGATTTTTAATTATTCTGAAATACTTTCCCTAAACAATAGTTTCTCACTGGGCGTATACGCAATATCGTATTCAAGCCATTTCTCCAAGTGTTTCGACGGCATACGCATCGACCTCTAGTAGAAAATTTTACTGCAAATGAGGGGAAACAGAAGCCCACGCGAAATGGTGGGAAAATCCGAAACGAAATGGAAAGCTCAATAGTGTGGGCCGCGCAACAAGCGAAACTTATTAGATGAGATAAACGAGCGGCTCTTGTCAGTGCAAAATTCATAAATTTGGCAGCTCCAGAACACAGGACCCATAAATACCATCAAGCGGGGGAACGCAAACAAAAACAAGGGCTTGACAATGAAATCAGATGAGGAGGGGGGTCTTTGGAGAAGGTCGGAAAGGGTTGGCCAATAAATCGACAGCTGGAAGAGAGACGGCTAAACAAATTGTTTAGCTAAAAATAGTCCGCACAAATTGTGGCTTATAAATTGTGCTCAAAGTGAATGTTTGCATACCGCCATCGCTCGCTTTGGGCGTCGCCATCGCTCCCGTACCACTCGGCGTATGCGCAATTTGTTTCACGCCCTAAACAATTGCTGGAACGTGCCAAGAACCCGCGGAAAAGGCGAAAAAGCGAGAGACAAATGTTCAACAGGGGGCAATAATATTGGAAATTTGATGCTCTACTGAAAAATGCAAAGAAACCCTGGCGTTTGCGCATTATACATATTTGCCTTTCTGGCGAAACAAAGATTTTATTCCTTTCCGTTGCTGGCAAGAGGAAATTGTAGAGCCAAAGTCAAATCCATTTACACATTCTCCAGAACCAAACAAATAAATAAAAAAAGCAAAACCGGTGAGGAGCTGCCGCTGTTCTTCGGGCCAGAGTGTTTCCCTTTGTTGTGTATGATGTATGTGCTTATAGGAACTGTTGGCTATATTTGCTGATGGCAATAGTGTTAGCTGCAGACAAAGGAACACAGCCACCCGGGTCAAATAAGGATATAATATGCTGCTGGGAAGTCCGCCCGCGGCTCTGTGCATGTCTGACTCAACATTGACATTGGCATAATATTGGTTTCATTTGTAACAATGCAATATGTAATGTACAAACAAACAAATATCGATATGATGCTGCCAGGTAGGGGATTGAAGTGGGGCTAGTTCAAATGAGATAAGGATACCTTAAGACAGAGATGTTTTCATAACAAAAGATGGAATAAATATTAAATCATAAGTATAGTAAGGTAGCGTAAGGTAAGAGTTGGTCAGTACCTGGAAATCGAATAATTAGAATAACGAATAATTAGTGATTAAGAGAGTTAGAAGTATAGAGCGATTTAATATTGAAAATGTTGATATGTACCAACCCCCCAAGAAAATAAAAGCCAACTTCACTTCGATTTTTGTTTTCCATATAACGTTACAGATTCTTTATTTATTTTTTTATTCTTTCTTTTTGTTTGTTTTCCACTTTTCTTTTTTGTGTTTTCTGGCTTTTATAATAATTTGTTGTTTAATATAATTGCAGTTGTTTTTGTTGTCTATGAGTGTATAGTATGTGTGTATATGTCAGTGTATGAATGTGTTCGTGTGACTCTTTCGTGTCTCTTAACTAAATATTTCCCCATTTTTTCAGTGGCTTGTGATCCGCCTACAAGTTTTTTCGCCATCTTGTTCTTTTTTTGCTTACTTAATTTGCAATTCTATAATTTTCGATACTGTCAAGAGAATCGAATGCTGCACAATTGATTTGTTAGTTTTACTTTCAGTTGCAGTTGCAGTTGCCTCTGTCATAATATTATTCGTAATTTATTCATAATTCTTTTGTTTTTCGATTTAATACTAGTTCCGTTTTTCATTTCTGTTTACTGTATATTAAAGTGATTTTACATAATTTACTTATTCGCAAATTTATCTAAAACTGCATTCGAATTGGATTTCTGCCTTGTTAGTCTGTGTGTGTCGGTTTCGTTTCATAATATTCGACTTAATGGGGTTCGTTCTTGGTAGATGGTGTCTGGTATAGGGTTTCGGGTTATTTTTGCGTCGGTAAAAAATGCATACATTATAAATACATAGTTATCAAATAGTATGACTCTTGCATCGCGTGTCGGTTCTAGCTGTCCGCCCGTCAGTCTGTCTGTGGGAGTGTTCTGTTTCTGTTCCTGTTAATGGTGTAATGTTTTTCGCATTATATATGTATACGTGTCTGTGCATTATTCAATATGTAGTATATGCTTCTAACTTACATTACAAAATATATAACAAATACGTGTAAATGGGTATATAATTTACTGTCATTCTACTAATTGGGTTCCCTATTGCGTGGTTTGTTCTGTTCTGTTCTTCTGCTGCTCCATTTGTTAAAAATATAAAATATTGCACCGATTATTCTGTTTCATGAATGTCTCCCCTCTGCTTAGTGTGGGTGTCAGTGTCATTCGGATTCAGTTTGCGTTTGCTGTTCGACCTATACATATATAAATGCAAAATTGATTCATACTCGGATGGATCAGAAAAAGCCAAATCCTAAAATGAACAAATCGCGAAAGCGCATAGCCAAAGGATATAGTATTTCGTTCTAAAGAAACTGAAGCATAATTTTGGCAGTGTTCAGTGTTTGCTTTGGATTCCGTACTATCTGGCATTTCGGATGCAAATCAAATGGCGCTGAATGCCAACTGTCTTCTGTTTTGTGTCGATGGCTAATTTTACTTTATAGACTCGAGTCGAGGTTCATATTAACAATTAGTGTGCTTTAAAATTTCTAGAATGTCCTCAAACAAGTACAGCGGAAAGGTTAATGGTGCCTCATCATCTCAATATTATTTCGCTGTATGGTTTAACAATTACGTTAAAATCTTTGCACTTTCAATAGTCAACTTGTGTTGCAGTTTGTTACATTTTCCTCTTTGTTCATTATATGTATATGTAGGTGTTTCTTAGGTAATTTACTTTACTTTCTCTTGTGGTAGTAGGATAACTCGAATACCGAAAACGTTCGTGGTTGGGCTGAGACTTGATTATCTGCCTAGAGGGAGAACTTGTGAAAATAAGGAACTGAAACATGACTCCCAATGGGGCCCAATGCTGGTTTATACGCTGCCTGGAAAATGCTACGATTCGGATTAATTTCTTATATTTATTCTCATGCCTATGTTATTTACTTATGGTTCTCTACAATCTGCTTTCAATAAACTGCTTCTGTGTATTGCGCTTGGCTGACATTTCAACAATCGAGCAAAACTAAAAAACGAGTTCAACACAAAAAATTTTTCCTTTATGCAACAATCTATGCAGCATACGAGGGGTGTCTATTTTCTATTTTCTGATTTCTGTTTTCAATTAAAAATTAAAATGGGAATTCAGTTTTGGATTCGTGTATACGTAAGGTTTTGTTTATTTGCATTCGTTATCTGTCCATACTCGCAGCTTAGTGAAATGACTTAATAGGATTTTAGGTTTTCCATCAATTTTATGTGGTTTCATAATGTGTTTGTGTTTTCTTTATATAGGTGCTAAAACTAATAATATATACAATGTAAAATACTATTCCGTTTTCCATCATTCATATATAATTTTGTTTGCTTCTCAAGTATTTCATTAATTATATCAATTGCGCTAAGTTCATCTAAAGGTAATTTTCTTTTTCATTACTTTTAATTTTTACTTTACGTGGCTAGCGTTTCTCAGCTAGATTAGCTTGGTGTGGAGAATTTAGCATAAGTTTTTCTTGCTTTAGAATATCTTTTAGGAGTATTTTCTTCTTCGACTCTGATTCGTACTCGTTAAGTTGAGAAAAACTGGCTCCTCAACTGCCGCTTGTGCTTAGACAATAAATTAGACACAAGGCGGCGAAGTGCGTCTCAGTTTTCAGTTAAAAATGTCGTAATTTTTATACGTTAATATATATTTATATATATGTTCGTGTTTTAATGTATGTATATACTTGTTATGATGGAACGAAAACAGTCTTTGGGTATTCCTTTATATAAGTTTTAATTATGTTTAATTGTAATCCTTAGAAATTATTTTAAATCAAGAGTACTTAGAAAGCTTAAAATAAATAAACGAAATCTTTTTCATTTGTCGGCCTATCCGCCTATTGACTCTAGAAAAGTTAAAAACTTAGAAACCAAAACTCCTAACACAAAATGTACAACTTAAAATAATATGCACAACGAATCTGTTCAGAACTAATGTTATAAATTCATAAGCGCTCCTAAACTAAACTTTGGTATGCTCTCGCCTACATCTTAAAATTTTCATTTCCCCACTTTTTGACTCCGACTCCGACTACTAACTTTGCAGCAAAAACTGCTGGTTAGCAGGTTGCGCCGCCCTAATACAATAACTTAATTTCTTTATCGTAATCGTTAAATTTAAATGCTGATGAAAAATTTTTACAAATGTCATTTTACGTGTCATAATATGTGTTTGATTTTCCTTCACTTCCGTGCGACTCTAATTCGTTTCCCGCCCGATTCTAGGTTTATAGACTGTAGTTTTTCACTTATGTAGAGAGTAGTGCCAACTGTCAGCATTCAGATGCTTCTTTGGTTGCGCTTTCTTTGTGTCTGTGTGGCGATTCATTTCGTTTTAAATGCAACTTTGTATCTACTAACACTTTAGTTTCTTCATTAGGTATCCGCTTCGGACTGGGTACGGTGAGCGTTCTACCATCCCGCTTCCCTCGCTCGTCGCTTACAATTCTAGTTCGGTACTGTGGGGGTTGGGCGCCTCGGGTCCGTACATATTGGCCAGCTTGTCGAAGCGTGGTCCCCAGGCCCCGAGGTAGTCGTACTCCTGCTGCTCATCATCAGTGCCTGCAATAAACAAGTACAAGCGCACACAAAAATCGAAAATTTAATTTTGAGGGACCATGACATCGTCCTACTAAATCAGAAACAACCCACAAAAGCACCATTTAAGGTCTTTTGTTATCCTGCCAAATTTACACCCAATATTCAGCTGTATCTGAGGCTCGTTGTCCTGGAAATGTCAGAAAAGATGATAAGTGAAAACAAATTGTGGGCTCCCGTTCGCCAGGCACCTACGAGTGCTGCTCTAGTTTGTAGCCTACTTTTTGGGGCATCGAGGCATTGTGGTTCTAATTTCGTGTCTAAACTGCTGAATATTGGGTGCAAGAAACTAGAATTCGACCATTGGCACATCGACTCACCTGACGCCAAGGAGCTGAGCGACCCGGCAGTACTGCCGCCACCCTCGTAGGCATAATTCCGCAAGTCGTCGAAGGGAGGCGCGTTCGGGTCGCCGTCGGCGCGCTTTTTATGCTCCTCGATGAACATGCCCACATTGGGCTCCTGCCCAGGCATCAGGGTCATGACAGGATCTGAAAATAAAACAAGGAATTGGTTTTAATGAGAACATAATCACACAGTCACAGAATTGAGTTTAATTAACCATCATATGGCTTTGCAAAATCACAGGTAGTACTTACACATGATTGGCATCTTCATGGGCGCCAGCTCAGGTGGCATCGGGCCGCCAATTGGTATCTGGAGCGGAGTGATATCAAAGGCGGTCATGTCGTCCTCGCCGCCACCCTCATCGTCGTAGTTGATGATGTTCTCGCGCACATCGTCATCGGGTCCCGGATACTTGATATGCGCCTCACGGCGACGATTGTAAACGACGAATACCAGGACGAGTACTGGGAATAGTTTCAATTACGGAGAATTAAATTGGCGTTTCCAGTGAAGTTGTACCCTCCTTCAATATGCAACAACATCTTTGGGAGCTTATAAAGTGAACCAAACTACACTTAATTTAACATGCAGAAAAATTGCAATTCTACTTTCTCCTTCACGGTGGAAGAGCGAAACTGAAAATAGCTTTCCGCCACAGCACAACAAAAAATGCTTAATTAAATTGGGAAACGCTAAAAGGAATTTGGCGGAAAGAATATGCCAGTGATAAACGAAAAAGGGAAGGGAAAGCAAACAAATATTGCCAGCATTGTCCCACTTTTCGTTTGACCAAAATGGCAGATCAAGCTGCAGACGCCGCTTCGCGTCCTTCGTCCTTCGGTGGCCAGTCGCCTTTCTAATTTCAGCAGTGCGTTTGAAGCGCTTTCCAGCATATTGAGAGTCGGGCAGACAGCGCACAGCATCTGTTGCTCAGTCAGGGAAAACAAAAAGTTTTCGGCGACGGGCATTCGGAAAGTCGTGGAATTGCCACAGCAACTGGAATAAGTTGACGCAAGTAATTTGCTGCGGCTTCTTTTGCGACGGGAAAAGTTTCGTCCTTGGTCCTTGCTGCTCTACCACGCCAGCTGGCCGCCAGTAATTGCAATTACTGTGTTCGTCAAATACACATTCGCAATCCAAAAATTTGCCCCGCCATCTTTAATTTGTAATGTACGGATGTACGGATTTTTCAGGACCTCATTGATATGCAAAATATTATACTTTCCTGACCATTCAATAAGCCTTAATTTATGGAGGCCTTTTGTTGCGTCATGTAATTTGCGGAAATGACTTTTGACATGTTTGCTTGCTGCGGATCCGCCGTTTCCGGTCATTGCAGATGGCCGATTGTAAGACTTCATTAATTTCATGGCTTACACGCCGGCCCATTAATATTTAAAGGGCGTGGCTTCGTTTTAAATTATCGGGGATTGCGGGTAAAAATAAGGAAAGATATCTAAAAGCTACCATGCAAGCTACCATACTTCTTTAAGACCCATTGAGTAATTACTTTACCAGAATGTTAGGCTACCTTAACCTGTGGGTGAGTCACTCCGACTGCGGGTTAGTGGACACTGTTGTGGGGTACTTACGTATCAGAGTGCCCAGGCAGAGCGCCAGGGCGACAATAAAATCACGCGACGGCGTCAACACGCCGGAGGCCAATAACTCCAGTTCGCAGTGCATGCCGGTGAAGCCCATGGGGCAGTGGCACTCGTACTTCTTGGGCGGGTGGTGATCGCGACAGCGGCCCCCGTTGCGGCACGGGTGCAGTAGGCACTCGTTGTCGTTAACACAGGTGCTGCCGGAGCTCTTAAAGCCGGCCGGACAGCTGTGGAACGGAGGCCCGACAGTTGCGTATACGTAACACGGTTTGGATGTTGGATGTGTGGGTGGGAGTATGGTATGTGGAGTGTTGAAAAAACAAAAGAAATTATTTAAAAATTTGTTTCATCATGCAGGTGTGGGAGTATCAGGTGTCGATGTGTCACAGTTGAGTAAAGTTTTTGCAAAAAGCACCGTAGAAAATTGCCTTAAAGCAAAAGGGATTTGGATACTGATCCTACTATTTCAATAATACCTAGTACTTCCCAAAGAAGACTTAATAGCTTCAAAATTTTATAAATATCCCATTTAATTTTATAAACCAATTTTTTGCTCAGTGAATGCCTTTCTCCCTTCGTATGTTTGAATAGAAGAGAACAATACGCTTTGTCCTTTTCCTTGCATCCCCTCAGTATGTGAAAAACTGTCAAAAAGTCCTTTTAAACGTTCGTTGCAACTTTACCAATTTTTCCATTTTTTGTTTACTTTTTTGTAGTTATTATTTCACGCTTTGTGAGTTTTAGTTTTGGGATTCGGTCGTGTGACTAACTTTTTGCATTTGCATTGCACAAACATAGCTCCCATAGCTCCTTTCCGACTTCCTCGCCAAACACGCTTCTTAAGTGCTGTTCCCTACTATTTTTTGTGCTTTTATGATTATTATGGAGGAATTTTTATTGTAATTTTTTGTACTTTGAATTGAATAAAGTTTTCGTCCCTCTGCATTCTTGGGGCGAGCAGGATTTCATTTTATTTTGTCGCACTTTGGTTGACTATTTTTTCCTGCGTTCCTTAAGTTTGTTTTGATTAGTTTTGGCCAACACTCCTAGAACCACACTTGCTCTCGAGCCGAGGGACAAAAGTTTTTAAAGTCGGTTGACATTGGCAACTTAGGTGTGAAATGGCTTAAACGGAGAGACTTCTCAAGGTTTGAGTAATTGAGATGCATGGGATTTCCTTCTTTAAACATAACAAACTCTCCAGCGAGTAATGGTGATAAATCGGAGAGAAGGAAATGTATATTTTGTCTCAAATAAATCAATACAAGAAGCCACAGTGGTCCTTCATTGTTGGAATTCTCAAAATGTTACCTCTTTTCAAGAACCTTAGAGAATTTCATTCAAATGCAATTGAATACTCTTCAAAGGTAGACTTTAGCCACTTTTGATATATTGAAGATTATTGCCACAAGCCTTGCTTGACCGTTTTCCTCGGCGGGGCGCCAGCAGGAAAAAAAGAAATCCCTGGGCCGGAGCAAGAGTAAATACCTCAAAAGCAGTAAAAACTTTCACACTAAATCAGCGCCAGCTGAAAAGTTGAATCGGGAATAGTTCTTGGCTGCCTTCGATTACTCCCAAGTGCGTAGCTTAAGCCATCAGAGTGAGTGGGGTACTTGATAATTTTTCAGAATATTTTCATTGCCTTTTTTCCCTTTTTCGGGGAGCTTGTCTGCAAAGTTTGCCATATTTTATGTCATTAGGTTTTAGTTGAAATTGACTGGAGCGAGCTCGGGCAATTTCTGTGCTTCCTTGAAACGTCTTTGCTTTTAAATGTTAAGCAAAGGTAAAGGTGGCATACAAATGGAGCCGGGCTATAAGCCTGCAACTGACATTTTTCTGGCTGTTTACACACATAGCCGGCATTTAACGTGAAAAATTGAGAGGGGGAATAAAAAAATGCAAACACAGTAAATCCCGGCGAGGTAGTGCCCAAAAATGGAACTGGCAGCTCCTTAGAGCCACTTTCCGGAAGCCAAACCCCTCCTCTGATAGCTCCTCTGAGCTGTCCTCCCACTGTGTGTGTGATTCCCTAAGTTCCTTTTGGCTTTTGGGTGGATTTAGTGCATCGTGATTTCTCGAAATGCCAAAGCTAACAACTGCAATTGCTCTTCCTCGGGTTTCAGTCGGTGGATGGTGGATAGCTGATGGCCTGGCCTTGTCTCCTCATGGACAACTTGTATCTTTGGCTGCACATTTGTTAACTTACCTGAAGGGCATTTCAGGTCTTGTTCTTTGTCTTGGCTGAGTGCACTTTGAAATGTGTGATAGGGGCGGAGAGTCGGTAGAATGGCAAAAGAATAGCACGAAAAACGAAATGTATCAGAGCATGTATCAGAGACTACAGTGTCTCTTCGAGTGTAAGTTCATTTCTAGTACAAAGTCGGGGACTTGTTTGGTTAAATAATCCGGCTACTTCGGGGATACATACCTTCGCTTAATTAATAAATTATTTACAGACACAACATACACAGATCGAACAATGTGATAAGCTTGAACATCGAGTGGAGGCTGAACGGAAAATGTGCCAAAAACAAATACTCGAATTGGAATGCAGATGAAATGATAGTTTGATGAATATGGAAATGCCCTTCTGAATGGAATTAATTTCAAAAAGCAATAAACCAATGTGCAAAATATATGTTTGATTTGCATTCTTCAGTGAGCCATGATTTAATGCCGAATGATGGGATTTACAAATGATAGAGATAGAGATGTCAAAACAAAATCAAAGTGCATGAGATGGAATCGTTGAGAATGTCGAATTGATGGGAAAACTAAATGGATTTAATGAATGATTTCACTAATAAACATTAAACACTAAAACACTAAGCATTGGCTACAGCACTAGTTGCTTGACTTAAGTCACAAGTTGTTGTTGCATATAGGGGGCTATATTGATGGTCGGGGGGCGTATGGGATCGATGCTCACTCAGAATGATCAAAAGGCAGACCAGGATCGCCGCCAGGGCGCCCATGCTGAGCTTGAGGGTCTGACCCTCCTGCACCAGCTCGCAATTCTCGCCCCAGAACCCGTCGGGGCAAATGCAGCGATACCGTAGCCGGGGCTCGAGATTAATGCACGTGGCCCCGTTCATGCAGGGCATATCGAGGCACTCGTTCCGGTCCATGCAGCCCTTGGAGTCGGGCGACATAATGCGTCCTTCGCCGCAACTATTATTGGGGTTTACACATATTCAGTATTCAGTGGGACCGAGAAGGTTAGCATTAATTAGATAAGTGATGGGGTTCAATGGCAACAAAAACTGGGCAACCGAAAAGCAAATATCGAATAGATGTTCCAATTTTATGATTGATAGTTAAACAGGTTCGAGAGAGAGTCCGAGTCACAGGATGGGTGCAGTCGACTTGGCAGAGAAAAGTTTATGCAAAATGCCACCTTCCAAGTACACAAAAATAAACAAATAATCGCACTGATGTGGCACTTTGCAAATGGCTCTGCGCTGCTTCTCTGGGCAGGGAGGGCCTCCTAGCCCTTAGCTGATTGGTTAGCCGATTGGTAAGTCCCTTGGGAAAGCTTTAAGCCAGTAGGTGTGTAGGGTGTGTGTGTGTGTGTTGAACAAAGATAAGCGCTGTTGTACAGATTGTACCTGTGCTGAGCTTGTTACTCTTACTCCGTGTAATGAAACAAAAGCGTGAATATGTACAAAGGACCATTGCGAGCCGGATAAATGTTCTCTACAACTGATTCTCCGATTTGGCGACTCTTGGATCGACTTTAACCCGGGACCCGAACTCAAAGCGAAAGCGAATCGTTAACGGAAACGTAAACGTAAACGGAAACGGAAACAGAAACGAAAACGTAAGCCTAAGCCGATTGATTTGTCACGCAACGTTTAGTGCCAATCACTAACTGACTTTGTGCCATCTATGTATGTGGGAGTGTGATTGAGTGAGTGTGTGAAGCTGTGATTCTATGGCAGCTATGCCAGGAGGTTCTTTGATTTGACGGACAGGTCCAATAAGCCTTTGCCAGACTCGTTGCCCCGACTCCTATTTCAGTGTGTGTTTTTCTTTTTTTGCTATTGTGGGTTACTGGCTGCCCTTTAATTGATTAAGCCTATCAAATGTTAGCTTTGCTTGCTTATCGAAAAAGCTGGCGATTTGTTTCCATGTTCCCTTTTATGTGGCATCGGTTCGGCCCTGTGGTTTTGCCGACCGAGCACTCCCTTTCGGCTCTTCATTTTGTATAATTTTTAGATGGTCAAGTACTCAGTCCGGGCAGTCCATTCAACTTAATGGTTTAATTTTTCTTTTGGTGGGTTAATTTTTCATTTTGATGAGAAACGAAAAGCAATGCGTGATGATTCGGGGATGATGGTACTTACGTGCACTCGTAGACGTTCCACAGATCCACGCACTCGAAGGGATCCGGGCAGATGACGTTCGAGCAGGGCTTATTCGAGGGGCATCCCTTCTCCAGATTCCTCGCCATGGTGGCCTGACCCCACTGGGTTCCATTCATGGCCGGTGGCAGTGGCAGATGTTTGCCTTCGAGACTGTAACAGATAATCACAATAAAAACGGATTAGATGATATGGAAGTGATTTTGAAACACCCTAAGAGTAGTATATCAAGTATACGCACCGTATGTCATCGAGACAGCTCTTTTGGTAGTCCGCGTACACCTCAAAGGTCCTCACTCCGGTATATTCCGCCTTTCCACCTGCGTAGACACCCTCTTGCTTGTCGACCAAGAGCCACTGGTGTCCCACGAACTCAAATGTCTCGTTGTAGCGACGTCCCTCGCCTCCGTCCAGTTCCAGGGTGGCTGCAGATCCGTAGCGATTCACCCTCACCACGTGCCACTGTCCGTCGTTGACCACGATGGCGTTCAGCCAGAGGTCCTTCTCCTCGGTGCGCAGCGAGTTCAGGTTGTAGCGGAAGTGGAGGTGGCCGTCCTTGATCTCCAGGATGCCGTACTCTCGGTTGTGCTGATCGCTCACCCGGAACAGCTCTCCGTACTCCTCTCTCGTGCGGAATCTCAGCTGTACCTGAGTGCTGAAGCGGTCCGGCTCGAAGCTCAACGCGTACTTGACGTAACTCTGGGCCTTGAAGGTGGTGGGAATGGTGGGGATGTTGCAAGCAGGTCCCGTCCAGCCCGGGCGGCAGTGGCAGCGTGCCTCTGACAAGGAGCCCACGCAGTTTCCGTGCTCCCAGCAGCGGGCAGTGGCTTCTGTTTGTGCACAGACCTCCTCTGTTTGGGGGCAGCCGGCCAAGCTGTTCCTGGACAGTCCCGGATGGGCCAGATCGTAGAGCTTGGAGTTGTGCACCAGGTTCCGAATGCAGCCGTCGAAGCCCTTGGCCGTCGGCATGTAGTGCCAGAAGTACAGGCTTTGGTCGAACTGCTCCCGGTAGAGTCCTCCCACTTGCAGAGGGGCGTTCACGTTCAGATACTCGTTGAAGGGCGGAATCTGCCCCCTCGCTTGGCAGGACATGTCATCGAACTCTGGCGGAGTGCCATCCTCCATTTCGGCAATTTCCGCCGACTTGCAGAAGTCCACAACCATGCGAATGTTCTCGGTGTCCCAGAATAAGTCGATTCTGTGCCACTCGCCGTCGTCCAGGGTCTTCTTGGTCTTGACTCGCAGCTCCAGGGTCCCGGAGCCGAAGTCTATCAGCAGTCGCGGGTATCCGCGCTCCAGCTCCAGGGCAATAAAATCAGAGATGAGCTTCTCGTCGCGCTCCGGCGGCACAATCGGTCCGTTGTAGATGATGAGGCCGTCGGGCTTTCGAGTGATGAACTCCAGACTCAAGTGGGATTCGTCGCACATTTCAAGAGGCGGGTACCATGCCCATCCATTGCCTCGGAAGCTGCGAGTAGTCTGCTGACAGCGGGGTCCAGTATAACCCACGGGGCAGGAGCAGTGAGGCCCGAAGCGAGTGTCCATGCACCGGCCACCGTTGTGGCAGGGGGTGTTGCGGCAGGACTCGGGTTTGGTGAAGTTTCTTGCCCCGCAGGTGCAGTCCGCAATGGTGTCCACTCGCACACCGACCAGGGCAGTCTTGTTGGCGTTTACCATATACGGGAGCGGGCTAATTTCTAAAGAGTTTGTGCAGCTGCCCTCGCACATCTGATTCTCGTACAGGCACTCGTCGATTCCCACCATGGTGATGTTGATGCCCACGTCCTTCTCGATCTCCTCGCGGTGCATGAGGACTATTCCGTTCAGCCTGATGGGCTTGTAGTAGGGGGAGCCGTGGGCCGAGAACCTCACGTCTGTCAGTGGAGGGTGTCGTCTCTTTAGCTGCACACTGAAAATGTCCACGTTCTCACGGTCCGTGTTGAGCATATCGGCCAGCTTGTCCCTGAAACGGTCCAGCTTGGAGCGACTGAGACTCTGGGTCCGGTAGTTCCACACGCGAATGAAGTCCTCGTCGGAAATGCCAGACAGGCGAACCGAGCCGGAATTAATAACCGCCTCGTGGGGAATTTCCCGCACAGTGACCGTGACGTTGGCCGGAATGTCCGTCTGAGTGTGCTTGCGATCGTAGACCTTGAACCTGAGGTGGTAGCGTCCTTCGCGGGTGCCAGCCCGCATGGTTACCATGCCGGAGTCCTCGTCCAGCTTGAAGCGGGGGTGCTCCATGGCCTCCCAGTAGAACTTCTTGTCCGGCAGGTCCCAGTCGTCGAGATCGTAGACGTAGACCCGTCCAATCGGAGTATCGGGCGACTGTCCTTGGTAGTTGTACACAAAGATGTCCTTTGAGCCGGGCTGCATTTTGTTGTCATTCACGTCGCCAATAATCACGGTAAGAGTGCTCGTGCCCGTCATGGCCGGAGAGCCGTGGTCCTTGATGACAATGGGGATCATGTACTCCTTCTGCTGCTCGCGGTCGAAGGATCGCAGGGAGGAGATAACAGCCATGCCGTCTCCGTTGGCTCCCTCTGTAAAGTGAAAGACGAGAAACAATTTACAAATTAAGAGAAGCTCATGGAATATTTTAAAAAGACTTTGGCAATCCTAGCTCACATCCCATCTGCACATTCCACATCTGGCCACAGGTTAATAAACTGCAAACTCTTGGGCAAATAGCTTCGAAAAGTCCTGCCTAAATCCTGTTACCGGCCGGGCCTCAAAGGCAGTTAGCTCCGACAACTAGCCAACCAGAGAGTCAAATCCTTTATTAGCCAGAAGCAAGGAGCACATTTGCCACCTGATTGCAGATGCAACTGTTGCAATGGGCCATTTGTTGTAATTACGCTTTTGAGGCGAGCGAACAAGCCAACAAGTGTTAAGTCTGGACGGGTGGGAATAGAAACCATTGCCCTGAAGGAGCAGGCCCCAGAAGCAGAGGGAGAACGCACACCCGGAATGTATTTTTAAAGACACTCCTTGGCGAGTTTTTAGGCAAATTGTATGCAAATACGGGGAGTCTGGAAAGCCTGTGTTCTCCGCAACGTTTGCATAAAGTCACTCTGGTAGTTTTGTGGACTTGGGAGCTCCGCCCTCCTCTGTCGGATTGTTGCCCCAGCTGGGCCATCAAAATTGGATTGCCGCCCACCCTCAAATTGCGACTGCTTGGGCACTTTTTCCAGCTCCTTGCTCTGCTGGCTCGCTCATACTCGGCTCGCATGGGAGGGAGCTGCGATGCACACACATGTGTGTGGTTTCGATTCTGCCCTGGCCGGGTAATTTAATTGAAAACTTGTGCATTTGCCATTTTGTTTTTCACCTTGCCAGCTGGTCGTTCGGTGCTTATATTATTTAAATTTTCGTGTGCCGTTCGGTTCCTGTTTCCGGGCTATTCATTTCTTGCAGATCCCCTTTTATGGGGGGAAGGTAATTGCATTTTTATGCTATTGTTAGCGTCCTGTGACACTGGGCGCCCCAGAGCCGGGCAAGAAAATTTCGATACAAACACAATGGAGAAGCCAATGAAAACGAACTAACAAAATCCAAAATGTTGCGCTTGTGGATTGTTTAAGCTTTGACCCGAATATTTGGCAAACTTTTCCATGGAAACAGAAAGGCAGGTTGGTCAGTTTGTAACTATTTTTGGACACAGGCTCTGGGGTAGGAGGAACCCCTTTGGATTTGGAGGAGCTGGTGCTCCCGTATGTATATATGTGGTGCAATTTGCAAGTAATTGGGTATGGAAGTCAGATTGCAGAAGGGCAAAAGTCAAAAATAGAATTTCTAATCAGAGCCGGAATTGATTTTATATGCAATACAGTTTGGTTTAAATATATTTCAAATTCAACGCGAAAAATAATCATTTACGTAATACCAATGAATTTTATACTCACTTTGATCCTGCTCCACCTTGAAGGAAGCTCGAATAATGTCATCAGCACTGGGGTCCAAGCGGAACTGGAATGGTGGGCCGTTGCTCTTGGATCGATCATCGTCGTCGGTAGCCAGGATCTCCACCACCTTGCGCGGCGGAACATGTTCCGGCAGAACTGGCCGGTAGTCCTTCAGGAATTTGGGGGCATTGTCGTTGATGTCCTGCACTATGACGGTGAGGGTGGCAGTGGCGGTCTTTGGCGGGGAGCCGTCGTCGATGGCCAGAATCTTAACCTGGTGACGGGGCACTACCTCGCGGTCGAGGGACCTTTGAATGGTCACCGATCCGTTCTGGTTAATGGCGAATTGTCGCTGGCGATCCGAGGAGCGGTCGATGGAGTAGGAGACCTTGCTCTTACCGCCCTGGTCCGGGTCAGTAGCCTTGAACTTCTCCAGCTCGGTGCCCACCTTAGTGTCCTCGAACACGGAAACCTCAACGTTGGCCCGCTCGAAGTGCGGCTTGTTGTCGTTGATGTCCCGCAGCTTGACCACCACCCACGAGTAGGCCACGTGGTACTTGTCGTTGTCGTTGTCCTCGCCCTTGTCGTTCACCTGGATGCGGAAGCGGAAGCCATTGCTCTGGAGCTGGTCCTCATAGTCCAGGGGCTGGACAATCTTCAGGGATCCCGTGCCGTCGTTGTTCCGCACCATCGTGAACTTGTCGGCGCCGTAGCCGCTGTTGTCGATCACCTTGTACTGGAACTTGTTGGTCTCGTCCTCGTCGTGCACCGTCACGGTCAGAATGGGCATCTCCGGCAGCGCTGTGCCGTCCGTCTCATCCACCTCCGTGAACCACTCGTCCTTAGTAAACTGCGGCGGCATGTCGTTGATATCCTTGACCCTTATGGACGCAGTCCCCGTCCCCTTCAACCCCCCTCCATCCATCGCAACGACTTGTATGGAATAGTCCGGGGTTCGCTCGCGGTCCAGGCAGCACACTGCGGTCTTAATCACGCCGGTGTCGGGTTCGATTTCGAAAATGGGGGAGCCGGTCTCCTCCTCGATCACGTTCTTCTCGATGGAATAGACCAGGCGGGCGTTGGAGCCCTCGTTCGGGTCGTCGTAGTCCACAGCCGTCATGGTCATCACCACCATGCCGGCGGTGCCGTTCTCCGTCACATTTCCGAAGTAGACGCCCTGGGGGAAGATGGGCGCGTTGTCGTTGATGTCCTTCAGATTGACCTGGACGTCCGCGTATCCCACGAGGCCCTCGCCGCCCTCATCCTGCGCGAACACGGTGAAACGCCACTGGGGCCGCCCGTTCGGTTGATCGCGATCCAGGGGCTATAAAAGCGCAAAAATAAAGAGAGCCGTGTGAGTTTAAGTGTAAAACCCTGTTACCGAGCCATTGTATAATTTTAGCTGTCATAAACGCAAAACCGATTAACATCTGGCTGGGGAATGGGGGCTGAGGTCTGGGGAGGACAACATTGTTGTGACTGGGGACACATCCTCAGCACATCCCCATGAAATTATCCTTTCACACAATGGGGCCAGAACCTCCAACCCAAAAAAAAAAGGAAGCCTCTACCTGCCTCTGATTTTGATTGTGACTTTGATATGCATTCACAGCAGCCTGATGGATGTGTTGCTCCCACCTGGTGCCGCCCAAGCCCATGCCCCGTGCCTCCATGCCCCTTTCTTAACCCATCACGTATGCAAATAATAAAAGCGAACGAGAAAAAACTCCGAGTTTAATCAGTACTTTGTATCTGTTGGCTGTTGCCGGGGCAACCCTTGGATAATGCCCCAAGCCCCCTCCAGTTAGCCTCGGCGCCCCTTAACCCACGCCCACATGTGACAGCCACAGCAGACCGACAACAAGAGAAGCTTTCATGGCGCTGACATTGGATTTGTCGTAAAAAATATGCACGAGGCGACAACAACAATAGGAATGTGTATAGAGTTATTTTGGAGATGGGTTAGACCCTCAGGTACTTCGTAGTGAGTACCTTGGGCATGTTCTGGTAGACTTGGATTGAAAAATAATTTCCACGTTCTAAGCCCAGCATATCGCAGTGCTGCACCCCAAAATACGCCCCGGGAATACCCTCTAAGTAACAAATAACATAAAAATATGTACACATAACCCCTGCGCAGTCATCGCTTTAATTTGCATGACAAATTCGCCAACATTGTTATGACATATTCAATTTAAGGGATTAGTTGTGAGTGGGTCACGGACTAGGGAACAAACCGCACCCCTCGACAGGGGGTTCAGATGGCTGTTATCCCTTATCAAGTCGGGACTTTCCCCGCCCGGCCCCTTTTCGTTTGGATGTAGAATTAATTTCGTATAGAGAGCCAGATAGTAAATGGACTAAAAATGGCTAAATTGTGCGGGCCAAATGTGTTATTCGTTAGGAAGTGCTCTCATATTATTTTTATTCCAGCCGGACGCCAGGGAATTTAATTTAATTTGGCTCTGGAGTTTTTGGGAGTACGCATTCCATTTGCGCCAGCTAAGTGATATTTTTCAGCCCGCATATGGCGAGGGACTTCCAATTGTGATTTCGTAATTAGTTTCAATTTGTTTCGAAATGTACGACTCTGCGGATGGTTTTAAAAAGCCAAAGCGCTACTTTCAAATTGGCTTAAAACGATGGCATTAAAGCCGACTCTTCACCTATGGAGTGTATTTTTTAACTTTTAAATTGGATTGAAAAAGAGGTCCATTTTCCGACGCGTTTTAACCTTTAGTTAATAGCTCGAATGGCCCTGCCCTTTGTTCGTCAACTGCCACTTAAATGTTAAATAATGAGCACGTAGACGGATTCACACGTCCGCGTTTTGTGGGGATTCCGATTGAATCGAACCGGGCTTAAGTGCGCATTGATGGGGCTTAATCAGCGAAAGCATATTTCGAAATTCGCCATCATGTTCAGTTCGGTTTCCAGTGTCCGTCGGCCAGCTGCGGCCTTGGCCGGCGTGGCGCGGATTTTTAAATATCGCATTTATTTATTTATTTATGGGTGAGTTGCCACTGGCAATTTGTTAATGCTTAAATTGAAGGTGTGCCCCTGATTTAAGCGCGTGTAAGCGCTGTTGTTCCTGCGATATGACTTACCTTTAAAACGAATATCTCGCCGGTGGTGCGGTTGATGTCGAACTTGCTGTTGGCAGGATTATCTGGATCGATGCCCTGGCCCGTGAGGAAGTACACGATGTTCTGGGGGCGATCCTTGTCCCCGTCGGTGGCCGTAACCTGTTCATCCAGAGCGGTGAACAAACAGAGATATTTATTATTAATGGTCGGTTGGTTGGTTGTTCGGAAAATAATAAAATATCAAATTAAATAAACAAACAAAATGCAGCATTATAGAGAAGTTTAACAAACATGCCGTGCAAAAACTAGCTATTAAAAAAAAAGAAAATAGTTTTGTGTATTTGTGTTAGTTTTTTTTTTATGGATTCACAACAGGAAATATTTTTTTTAGGATTGGCAATAATATTTTATGGCTTTTTAACATTCTTTTTCCTAATTTTCTGAAGGTTTTTTCCAAAGGATTATGATTTATTTGCCGCAAAACGCTGACAGGTATTGAGTTTGGGAAGCGAATAAACATTTTTGTTAGAAGTGCTAGAACAGAAAATCATTGGCAAATGGTAAATTATAAATAAAATATTATTTGCTTACGGTTAGTAAAGTGTAAATAAAAACAATGTTATGCTAGAGTGCTGACAGATTGATTTTAATTCCCTTTGTTGGCCTTAAGCTGCAACCTGCAACCAGGTCCATTTTAATTAAATTAGTTGGCGTCAGTTAGCCACAAGGAAAACATAACAAAACCACAACGGAAAATCTGGTCGGTCAGGCTTAATCGTGCAAATGTGTGGCATTAATACTTAAAGAGCGTATTGAATTTAATTAGCAGCTTTGGCAGCCGACTGAAAATGGCTAATGGAAAAGCGGAAGCCATACGATAAAAATAGTGCGACACAGCCTACATACATACTGTACAGTACGCAGGCAATTAAAGGCCGAAAAAAAATTAAATTTTTATTGAGAATGCTGTTAAAAAATCGATTAAAGCCTTTCTACTAATTGTTGGCCATACAATGGCCTGCTATAGACGCTCAATCGCAGGCCCGCTGGTGTTCTCTTTCAATTTGCACAATTAATGCTGAACGGTTTAATGAATTCCGGCATTACACCTTGCACGGGCCGATCACTCATTATGCTGCGAGTGTTATTGGTGGTTTACACAAAAGTCTACATGAAAGTGGGCCTGAGGAGGCGACTGATTTGTGTCGCCCCTTGCTGGGTTAAATTAATTGTTACGAGCTGCTTTCAGGGTTTGTTTGTTTTCAGGGGAATAGTATGCTGCAGTGTGAATGCTGCATGATTTTATGAATTGTATATGGTATGTACAGGACTCGGAGGTGGTAAATAATGTGTATAGCGACCTGCATGATGGTAAAGGGCGTGTCGGTCATTCCCTCGTTGAGAGTCCGCTCGTAGGATGTCTGCGGGAACTGCGGCGGCAGGTCGTTGACGTCGCGCACGTTTATGACGATTGTTGTTTGATTTTCATTCAAACTGTCGGAGGCAACCAATTTCAGTTCGTACTAGCGTGTGTTTCATTGTGCAAACATTAAATAAAATATATGGCCAACGCAAAATTGGTGGGCGGGATTGGTGGGGTGGAAAGCAAGAAACAAAAATAACACAATTAAACAATAAATTTTAAATGCTCGTAAATAACAAAAGAAACATATATCTATTGATTAAAATTAAATTAAGGCTCGCATAATAATTTACACATGTTCGAGATGCTCTGTACATGAATATGCGTTTTTGTGGCTGTCCAGGATCCAGTGGGCCCTGTCTATGAACTATCAAGGACTACGGAGACTCTCGATGTGGCAGCTGATTTGCATATTCCATATTCAATTGCTCGCTGTTTACTCATTAAAAAGCAGTAATTTAATCGACTTATTCAATTATGCATTACAAGCTGCATAGCATTTTGAGCTGATAATCGACATATTTCCAAGTCATCTTCTCCCCGTAACATCTATTTTTTGCGCACTTGGCGTGGCGTGCTTAATGATAAATCAATATTATGACTGCTGTTTTTTCCGCAACCGCAACATTAATGCTTTGCCAATTAAATGTGATTCTCTGGGTGTGTGTGGTCTGTAAATAAATTTTGTATTTTTTCAAGCCCGCATGCCACAGCTCTTGAACACACTCTGGAGCGGACAGCTTTTTTAAATTGTTTAATTACTTTTCCCCATTTTTTCCGAGCCCTTAATCATACGGACTTCGGCAAAGCTGGGGACGCGAAACATGCAAATGGCTTTAAATATTTATGTTACATTCTCCATACTTAAAAAGTTGCACTTTCGAACGAAAACAAAAAGTTTTGGCTGCAAAGTCCATTAATATTGCAGGGCAGATGGGCAGATGCCTTCGATGTGTGACTGACGGGGAAGGACGTTTGTATTCTTTCAGGTGATTAAAATAAATATTTGCTTTGGGGGACAGGCACTTACTCGAATGAAAAACAAAACTCAAAACTAACGAAAATATTTAAGAAATCATTTAACTATAAAGCTCCATTTGTGGATTGGTGGTGGGGTGCAATAAAGCTTGATCAGGCAGGTTTTGGGGGGAACTTCAAAATAAACACTCATCACATGCAATAAAGTCTAGGAAACGTAAAGGGTTGCTGCGAAATGTGCCTCATGTACAAAAATGACTAAAAACTCAATGGAAGAAGCTCTAATAAATCATAATTTTCAACTAAGACTTCAGAAGCGATTGATTTCTTTATTCATTGACCTGCAAGACGCGCTTGGGTAAATTGCGATCATCCTCCTCGGTAATCTGGGTGCGATAAGTGGGTCGCTCAAACACTGGAGGATTATCGTTCACATCCTTGACATGGATAATCACGGTGGTGTAGTTCTCCTTCAAATTATCGGAGGCGGCCAAACGCAGCTCATACTGAACATGGGAATACATTGAGAATTTATTACACAGAATTAATATTTCAGGACGTTTAGGATGAATTGGAATTTTGTACATTTGCCCTCGGAAAGTTTTGCCAGCCGTCTTCCAATTAAAGTCACGACAATGACTCCGAACTTTGGTCAATTGTTAGGAATTGCAATTCAATTAATGTTTTGCCAAAGGACCTTTGCCGCCCTCCGTCTCCTTTCTGCCTGTGGTATTGGAATTTTTAACCGCAGAGCTTGTAACCAAACTTGTTTAAACTCTTAAATATTTAAGCAGCCTCGCGGTGTGCGGAGCGTGTAAATTGAAATTCAAAAGGAGACGGCGAGGCAACTTGGCAGCGAGTTTCTTAATGAATTTTATAGTTAGCCAGGAATGGCGAAGATGGGAAGATGGCTGGACTGGCTGGGAGTTTAAAAAGTTGGCTTTAAGGATTTCGATGGTTTTTCGGGGAATGGAGGCAGATTGTAATCCCGGTTGTCCCTTATGTATTCTCTGCTTTCAATGACATAAACAAATCTCACAGTTGACTAAGCCCACAACGCTTATGCCATAAATATATCTGCTCGCTGCAAAGGAACGTTTGTCGATTACAGAGGACTCCGGACTCCGGCTCGGGTCTCCCTTTTGCATTTTTCTTCTCCGGGCACCCTCTCCGCCCTCTTTTTTTTGTATTTCCATACATATATTTTTTCGTTTTTACTTACCCTGCGTCGGGTTTCGTAATCTAAAGCGCCAGCTACATAAATGGCACCCGTCATATTTTTAACCGCAAAAGCGCCGCCGATGTTGCCGCTTGTAATTTCATAGCGGATACGTGAGGCTGCAAGGGGAAACCACAGAAAAAATTCAGGAAAAGGGAAAAGTAGAGAAAAATGTGTGTGTAAGATAATAATTGCGGAATTTTAGCTGTGGGGCACATTTTGGCGGAAGCCTATACTTACACTCGTCGTGATCCTTGGCCGTTACAGTGAGCACTGTGTGCTGGATGTCCTCGTTCTCATCCACTTCGGCCTCGTAGAGCGATTTGTCGAAATAGGGCGGATTATCGTTTTTATCGGCGATGCCAATGCGTATGAACTTGGTGACTGCGGGAATAGAGGAATAGAAGGCCTGGTTAAATATCTCGTTTCATTTTCAATTCGGCACTCAAGGAAAGTTGGTACTTGGTGGGTTGGTTGGATGGCTGGTCGGCGCAATTATCACGTACTAGACACAATGAGGAAAAGTTTTCGCCAGACGGAGCAACAATTTGACGCCTCTTATTGAGGCGACAATCATTCTGTTTGTCTTTTATTTAGGACCCCTTCCCCAATGTCGCTTTTTGTGGCCTTTTTTTTCATTCGAAGTGGGAGTTGAAACGCTTTTTGCATATTAAACAGCCCGGGATATTTTCGGTTCCCATTTGATTTTTATTTGCATGTGTAGGCTCTGTGCGATGATGTAATTTATTTGATATTCATGGATTTTCTATTTTATCAAGGACTCCGGCAGTGGCAGAGGCAGTGGAAGGTAATGCGATTGCAAATGAATTCTTGCGTAAATTTGAAATTATTTTCGGGCTATTTGAGGCCCTCTGTCTTGTCTCGCCCATTCAGCCACATAATTAACTATCATTGCCTCGGGCCATGTAGGACAACACCTATTGTGGCGCTGGAATTGCTTTGAAATCATTCAAACGAATTTCTCGTCCAACTGGCCCACAAAGGTCGCCCGTTCGCCCGAGTTGAATTGTGAGCACACAGTTGATTTAATATGGCAGGTCGGGCAAATACTCGAAGAACAAACCCCACTCTCCCGACAATGCGAGGCGGGAAAGTGCAAACAAAGCCACTGACAATGAGACATATCAGTGAGCAGGGACGTCACCAGGCTACTAAATTACATATATCATTTATAATTGCCCCAATAACAACAGACTGGGCAAAGCCAGTGGGCTTTAATTAAATAAATACAAAGAGCACCGGACCAGACCAAAACCTGAACACTGTACACACAGATCTAAGTCAGCAGATGTGCCAAGGAAGCGACAAACTTTTGCAGTTTAACAGGCCATGTACAAGTCCTCAAGTGCACAGAAAGAAAAGAGTTGTTAGATAAATTTTAAAGAGAATATCACTGTCAAGAAATGCTCTCAACAGAGCCTGCTCTCATTTATATTTTCCTTGGTTTTGGTTGTTTTATAATAATTGTCGTTATCCTATTAGATCTCAAGTGCCTTCATTTGTAAGTTTACTTGGGTCTCCCAAGGAGGACAACCTATGAAAATGTCCTTCAGGGCAAAGGTGTGTTTGTGTTTTGGTTTATAATTTTGTTGTCTTGGCTGGGAATTATCTGTGTGCAAGAATTATCTATATGCACACTTGGCTCCAGCAGGTTGACAACTCTTCTTGCCAGTTGCAACACTGCAACTGGGCGCACATGGCGTATGTGCGATAAGTTCCTAACCCTGTGCCCAGCCTCCTTTCTGGGGGCTAAATTAGCAAATGTTTGGGACCAATTCGGAATTAAATTTATGGCAAAACATTGCTAATTGCCAACTCAGTTGTATTTGGGTTTCCATGTGACGACATTTTAATTAAAACTTGGCAAAGAGCCGCTGCAGAACGGCATTAAATGCAAATCATTTCCAGCACTCTGATTAATATTTATGCTTCAGCAAAAGGCCTTGCATCCACCAGATGAGCATATTACTTTGCTTGTATTTTTCCCATTTCCATTCGGCCCATTTTCCCTAACTTTTCCATCGAGATTGCAATGGATATTAACTGCAGTATATCGTTAAATATAATGATATCCCCCGGCAGGCGAATTAAATAAGGCAATTACGGAATCAGAACTTAAGTCTTTAATTGCAATCGGTATTGTCCTTAATTGTGCGCCTTCTTATAATTATTGAAAGTAATTTCAGCCCCGAGCTGCTGTTATTATTCATTTATTTCGCCCACATAAATATTAATATGTTTCGCTTTATTTAAAAGCGATAGCGACATCGATGGCCTTCATGGCCGCGCGTATGCAGATTTTTTCATTAAATCCCCGTAGAATTTTCCTCCTTGACTTTATTACGTCAAAATTCAATTTATCTATATGGGGATGCGGATGTGTGTGTGTAATATATATCGAATGCTATGAAAATTTCATGTGGCCTCATATATTTTTGACGCAGATTTTTTCCGCATACCACGCAAGACTTTGAGCTTCTCGAAGCCAGAGCTCGGAGCTTGGATAAATGAAATTTTATATACTTTTATTAAGCACATATTCGGGAAGCGGGGAATTTAAAATACGTCGTAGGCAGAAATATAATTTGATTCGCAATAAGTTATTGTAAGCCGAGCAGGCACAAAGGTTAACCCTATTTGCGATGCTCTTATCACATCACTTTGTCAACCGAAACGCTCAGTCCCTGAAATATTTTATCTATTTATCTAACACCAATTTTATTGCATTCTTCTCCCGAACTGGGACATAAACTAACCCCAAAATCAAATAGAAGATATCCCATTGAGCTCTTGAGCTTTCCGACACACTCCAGGGCTACCCCACCGACATTCGGCGAGTTTTGATGGCGAACTGTGTGTGCAATGTTTGGACAGCTGCTGGGGAGCGGATCCTTGGGAGAAGCCCGCCAGGATCTTGGCGCCGCGTCCTTTGTGTGGCCATAAAAACTGACATTGAAGCAATTTGGGTTAACTGCACTCGAACGGAGTGAACGAGTGGCGAAATCAAAGTCAACTTTATCACTTATTTAGCCCATGGAATACATACGTATGTGTCGAATTTGCTTTTCTTTTTCTCCGGCTAGGGGGTGCTGGGTGCTGCTGGATGTGCCTCAAATAAATAGTGTTCAATATATTTCCTTTTTTCGGGGGAGCTGCCACGCTTAGCTGCACAAATGCCACATGCCACTTGCCACGCCCCGGCCCTGCCCTGCCCCACTTTGAGTGTCATAAATTTATGCGCTATTTTCGCTTGTTCAGGCGGCTTTTCCGCCATCCAAACATATTTATATGTGTATATGCACTACGTGATGTGGCACAATGTCAAAATCAAAGACGCCATATTTTTTCCCGGCTTTCGTTGGCAATTCCCCCACCCTGGGGGTGTTGTCTCCTCGCCAGAGCGCCAATGTTTATCGTCAAGCTTCGCACTTGAGTGAATTTTAACGATATTAAATGGCAGGACGAAAAGTAAATAACAACTGTCGATACTTTAAGATTTCTTGCTCCATTTTAGGAGCTTCCTCCGCTTTCTTGAGGTAAAAACTAATTGGCCAAGATGCAGTTTTCCGTTAGCCATTTCGTTTTACGACCGCCTCCACAGCAATTGCAGCACACAATGTACGATATAGAAGAAAATCAGAGCTGACCATCCGGTCGGGTCTATACATGTGGCTTTCTTGTGCGTTGGCGGCCATTAATGGCGCTTAATGGGGCCGGGCCATAAAGGCGGCCAGCAGCATGTCCAGGGCTAATGCCAACTGAGCTGAGGAAGCTGTGGCATCTAAATTGTTGCAAAAATATTTTATTGCAATTCTTGAACCGCCCGCTTGAACCACCTCCCACTAGATCGTAAAAACTTGTTCAAATGCATTTTGTCGCTTGGCTGCTGCTGATTTTTTTATGATTGCGGTCTATCCGTCCGTCTGTCTGTCTATCTGCCTGTCTGTCTTTCCGCCTCTCTGACTGGCAGCTGCTCCCTGCAGCTCGTCCTTCGTCCTGCGTCCTTCATCTCTCGAAACAAAAAAGAAACCAAAACAAAATGCACACCACATGCGAGCCGGCAACAATGTTGCTGCGGTTCGCTCTGATATTTCGTACGCCTGTCTGTGTCATGTGTATATGATTGTCATGCTTGTGGTTATTGAGGTTTCGCTGCTCATTCCAGTATTTAGCATTTTCACACTTCGCTCAATCATCGCACAGGGGCTCTTGGGCAGGCGCCGAAAAGTTTTCAACTTAAAGAGGCGCTTTTTAATTGGTTTAAATGGCAGACATGCCGGCACAGCCGCTCAAAAAAATCCATTACAATCAATTGAGAGTCGGCGACGGAGTCCTCACCCCGAAAATAAACAAGAATTTTTGTCACGTACTTTGGCAGCACTGCCAAAATTTATGAACCAAAAATTCTGGCAGGACATTAATTGATAAAAGAACATGCTTATATAGGACCCAGGTGGATGATAAATCGTCCGGCAGCTGGGGAAGAAATCTTCTTAAAATGTTCTTTAAGAAATTGGAACATGAAAGAGAATGCCCAAGCGCCCTTAATAACATTTTGGGGCTCACAGCAATGGTGGCAACAAAAAGCAAATGAGTTTTCGCAGGGGCTGGATGTTTTGCGGTTTTTGTGGCCAGAAAAGAAAGTGAGAGAAAGTGCGGACAACGGAGGACGGAAGAGTGAGGATAAGAAACACTTCTCCCCATGCTGATGATGACAGCCGGCAAGCAGAAGATGCTTTGAAGCAGGCCTTGCTTCATGTTGCAGCCCCGAAAACAGTTGTCATTGCAGTTGCAGTTTCCGGTACCCGGGGGTTGTTGCATACGATTGTACAATTACCAAATGGCCATAATTCTGTTCTGACCAAAAACTAGAGGCCCTGTTCTTGCACTTGACTTGTTTATGCTGGTCTCGGCCAAGCCGGAGAATTTATGCAGACAACAGTAGCAGCTCCTGCATAATGAATGGCTGGGAAACGGGTTAGCCCTGCTTGGTTGGGTCGTCGAAAATCACCAGTTGTCGCCACCCGAGCGGGGCCCACTCGGTCCTTCTTTTCCGACTCCGAATTGACTGCCACTAAACTTCGACGGCTGTCAGTTAAGCTCTGGAGAAGTAAACTGGGAGCTCAGCGAAATACACCGAGAAAATTCATGATATTACATTTTCGGGCAACAATTAAAAGTTAGACACCCTTCCATTTGATAGCCTTTTAAATACAGAATTCACCATGAATATATTTGGCGACAACAATTGTTTCCTCGCCTGCACCTCAAATGCCACTCCCAAGTGTTAAGAAACTACGTCAAATGGACAAAGTGCTATATCACCAGAAACTTACCAGCACACCTGCTGCTGACTTCTTGAG